AAATTAAACTTTCGAAAAACGTACCAATTTCTTGTGTTACGAGACCCGTGTGGTTGATTCACTAAACTCGGTTGAAAGGTTGTTTTCAAGAATTCACGACCAGAAAATTGCGAGGCTGTGTCTTAAAAATTCTGAAAATTGTACGAATTAAACCAAAACCTTCCATCGAACAACACTTTTGGGACATTTTAACGCATGAAAATAATTTTTACCGTTCTAAGAATTGTTTCTCTACGTTGCATACTCTCACTTAAAGTCACTTGGGTAAGTTTTTTTCTTCCAGCCATAATTCGTATTGCGTTTGAGAATGTAGTATCGTTAACTCAAAAGCTAATTTCGAGGGTTGAATGAGATACAATCTCATTGTTTTTTGACATAAGTACTGTTCAGGATATTTACTTCTCATTTTGCGGAACTCTAAAGGAATTCCCCAATCAGGATTGCTTGACTCGACGGGAACTTGCACCCTGAGAAGTGAAACTGCGCACGTCATGTTACGAATGCACGGCCATGCCTACATAACGATTCTTATTGCATAAAGGGGGTCAGTTTCTAAAGAAACCGTGGTGCTGCGTTGGTAATATCAACTACGTTGAAATTCTAAATTGGCCACCGTAAGCGTTAGCCCTTCGTCAGAGCGAATGGAGGAATTATGGGTTGTGTGTGGGTTAATATGCAGAAAGTGAAGCTACGCTATTGGTGGGGGCATGGCGACAAGAAAAACACGAATAAATTGTTAGAATGAAAAGCGTTCGTTGATACTTGTGATTAAGAGTGCCAATTTGGAAGATGAACTTTTGTTCGAGAGTTTTGCGGCTTTCCGAGTTACCTAATTGTAAGGAAAGACCGCAGATTGCCATATGTCGCTTAGAATGATTAGGTAGATTAAAGTGTCTAGGGACTTGGTTTTGATGCGTCCTTGTCATTCCTTTCTACTTCGCGAAGGTGTTCTCGAAATCGGTCACCTAGTCGTCTTCCTGTTTCGCCGATGTATAGCTTTTTGCAATAAGTGCAGGTTATGCAATAGATGACGTTGGCTGAGGTTCGCGTGAAGTGATCAGTGATCTTAATGGATCGTTTGCGTCCCGATTGTTTTTTTCAGCTTTGTGAATGAAAAGACAAGTTTTGCATCGTGCGCGAGCGCATTTAAAAGTGCCGGGTTGGTCATTAGTTTGTAATGGACTTCTGACCAAAAAATTGCCTATGAAATGAGTGGAGGTTGTGAAAAGATAGTGCCAGTCTCTGGATCGTTTTGAAGTAATTTAAAGTTTTTAATAATAATGGATTTAATTGAATGGTTGGATTCTTACTGTAATTTCTCCCGAGGAATGAGGTAAGACTTGTGCCCGCGATATGTAATAATAGTACTTGATTTGCATGTAACTAATAGTCATTTTTCTTTCGCCACTGCCTTGTGGTTGACGTGCCTCCCCTTCAGTTTGTTGGTCTCTCAACGCAACCGCCCGACTTAACTACTGATAACTTTTATTTTAGTTTATTTTTCACTTCCTTTGTCCTTTTTTTATTAAAATTAAAGAGAGGCGCGAGTAGAACCAAGCTTCGTTCAGTCACGGTATATTCACGTGACATGAAAAAACTATTTCAGCCATTACTTGAAATCAATGTAAGAGACATATTGCTCATTTTTCTAGATATCCGGAATAAAAACTATTTAAAATTAATTTGAAAAAAAAACAAGAATTAAGGCAAAAAAAAAAATTGACCCACATTAAAAAAAAAAAACCAAAAGACAAATTCATCGGTTCTTTTCATATGGTAAGCATTTTTTGCACAAAGACTAATCTACATTTCAATTGAAATAACGTAGAATTTTACCGGTTGTTAAAGACCAGAACTTTGCTTTGTAAGATGATCATGAGGACTAGTTTTTTCGCTTTTTTGTCAGTTGTTTTGAATCTGACATTTTATTTTTGGTGTTTAAAAAGACCTCTTGGTTACTAAGGCTGCGTATTACCTTAACCTTTCAAGTTGAACGTTCTGCAGTGCAAAGAAAACAAAACGGAATAACGGGTCAAATAGAAAAACAAGAACACTGATTAAAACAAAGAAGCACGAATCACAAAGGTAATGAAATTAACATCGTTTGTTTCATTTTGTTTACCTAATTTGTACGTTGAGTAGGTAATTAGCAGCCATGATTTAACCACTTGATTGAATTGAAAGAAACTGTCCAATTCATGAGGTTTTGTTAGAATACTTGAAATAATTCGTAGGCTTTTCTACTTAAAGGTTGTTTGGTCTATACACAAGGCACACGACGTTCTAATTATCAGAGCGAGAAGACTACCGGACAGGATTAGGTCAGCTATCTGAAAAGGAAAGGTAAGTTTAACAGTAGCTTTCACAAGCTTTACTTTTTAACCTGTACCCCTATCATTTTCACCTAATCCAGGTTAACTACATCGATGAAGATATAGGACACAGCATTTTAAAGCAATCTTGTGAAATAGGAAACTTCCCCTAAATTGAAGTAAATCTTCTGAACACTGAAACATTTTAGGATGGGGAAAAGAAAAGAGTTGCGATTCAATTTTTTATCTCATTGCCGGGCCACAGAAACAGAGTTAACGTATACTTCTATAAAATCCTATTTAGTGGAGGTTAATCCCATCATTCATGAGAGAAGAGTGAAAACAAAGCATAAATATGAATGCGGAAAAAAGAATTCAGTTAAAATTCGTGGAACCAAAGGAATAACCCGAAAAAATCGAAATGGAGAACGATTTTCTGAAAAATATATGCATTTTGTAAAAGCTACAAAATAACTATGTCGGCTTATGATATGGAAAACCTGTTAAAATAAAAGCTTAGCTTTTAATTCAAGTTGATTTGTTCGTTGTCCTTTTCAGTGTTTTATTTGAACCCTTATAAGTGTTAGACTGCTCCATTTCTCTGTTATCGAGTGTGTTATTGATATGATTACAGCTTTGGCGGGATTCAAAGCGAAAAATCAACATTAAATGGGAAAAGACAAGGAGGAGTTCGCTTTGACCAAAGGGAAAGAATGGAACCGAGACGGCTATCCCATTACCTTCTCTTGCTTTCACTTAATAATGCGTTTAAAACAGCTGCTGAAACCTCACTCCAACGTTTAATTGTATAGTGCAGTTGAGTAGCAATGTTAAACTTTTAGCTCTCGAATTTTGAAAAGCGCTTTTGAAAAGCAGTAAAAGGTGGTTAACCAGAAGTTTCATCTAATTTAGAGAGTAAAATTTATATCATCGTCCAAACGTGTATACATTTTGTTTTTAACGTACCCGACACCATTGTCTATCGATTCGTAATGCAGGACTTATTGGTGAGGCTATGTTCCTTCAGCGTGTTTTAAAGTATTGAAAAGCAATGATCAAAATGAAACGAAAGATTTTCTCTGATGTTACTTCGGCCAAACGTTTGATTGCGATGTGCCTGCGTGCTTCAGCCAATTGATGTTGTCATGTTAGAATCTCGCAAGCAAAAAAAAGTCCAAATGACCAAAATTGATATTCTAAGAGTAACAAAATAAACTCTAGACACACCAAATATCTGAAATACTGTGTACACAATTATTTTCACAGTTAAGCTCTTTTGCGCTTGATTTTTCTTTGTTAATGTAAACGCGAAAGAAGTGATAGTCCAATACGTTAAAACTATTTATTTCCTACGCTATTCAAAATTATACATCTTTATCCGAAAGAATCAGTTCTCTGTTGATATAAATAATTATAATAATGCCAAATTATTGCATGCATAAAAGAGAGCACGACTTGCTGTTCATGACAACAACCATTCGTTATTCATGGATAGACAAACTTTTTTGGAAAGGTATCTTATCTCATGATTCTAAAGGTTTTATCGGAGCCTTTAATTATATTTCAAAGAGAACATCTTCTAGCATACATCTTTCTGGCAAGAGTACCGTATAAGCCCATACATTAATTATGCATTCAGACTAGTAGACTTTGTTTTTAAAGTTTTGTCGTGAAATACAACGAAGTGGAATGCCTAATTAATTAATTAATGCATAATTAATCTTTCCCATCTTCCTTTTTATGTTTCATCAAGAGAAACCTTTTGCGTTCATGATAATTGCGAAAAACAGAAAAACGCCAAAATACCAAACATTAAATATCTTAATTGCTCTGGCGATTGCATGAATAGAATTATACGTTGACTAATTAGGCAAAACTTGAATGGCTGATTAAGAAGGTGAATAACTGTCCTTGACTACGGCAAGCTAAGCTGGTAGAGTACGTGGGACTAGGAGAATTCTAAAAGGAATAATTGGCAAATTGCCCCCTGTTTTGACCAGCTGCGTAGGCCAAGTCTAGAACGGATACATGTAGCCCGCATTTTTTGCCCGATTACAGGCCCTTGGAATCCCCTTCATCCAAATTGAATAAGCATTTTTTTAAGTGTTCATTTTTCTTCATGCTCTGCCTGAAACGGATGTTTGTAATCTAAATTTGATTTCTAATTCTGATCAGTATGTGCGACTTTATTTCTATATCTTCTGTATCTACGACTTTATTTCTGCTTCTTTCAATCAATTTTTATAGCTCAAAAATTTCATCAAGGGGTTTAAGATTCATGCCAAATTCAAATTCATCTCAAGTCACGTTTATCGGTCAAAATCAGTTTCCCGTCACACATCCGGAGGCAAAAAAAAAAACACTATTATGCTCTCTTGCAAATTATTTTTTCTATAACAGAAGGTGGTTCTAGCTCTTTGTTGTTGAGTACCATCATAAGCTACATAGACTTGTTGTGAAACAAACTAACAAAATTAAGGGTTCTGGTTAAACTTCGTTAGTGCAAAACACGCTGTCGATGATGCTAAGTTCTTAGCAATGAAAATCATAATTCTTCAATATGCAACAGATTTAAAGTCTTGATGGTGCAATAGTTCTGTAAAGCAACACTTCGGAAGTGCAACCTTTTGAAACTTCTCCGCAAATTTCTTTTTTTCAGTCAATTTACGGAGTTGAACTTTATTTACCATGCAACCTTTCTGGATTCTCGCGCTTATCACTTTGGGTGTATGCTCAGGTAAGAATGCCAGGCTTTTTCCATCTCTCCATCCCAACTTCCATCTACGATCTCTTGTAACAGTTATGATTTCGAGTTTAGAGAATGACCATTAACACGATCCAATTTTCTCTTTTTAGGCGTGGCTTCTGGAAAAGGAGGTTTGTTGATGGTCTTACTTAATAATCTAGCCGAATTGCTAGTCTCAAGCTTTGACGGCCACAATATTTAGTCACTAATGAGTTTTAACTCTGACTTCTATTTCTGAAATTAGATGATGACTGCCGCCAACAGAATATGGATCTAGCGATTTTCGGTGATATATCAAGGAGTATGAGGAAGCAACAACGCAAAAAGCTGATGAACTTTGTTATAGAGTTAATTGACTCAAAAAAAGTTTCTGCTGATGGAAATCATGTTGCTCTTGGGACGTTTTCATTTACAGCTGATATCCATAACAAGCTTGACGATAAGGAATACTACGATGTAAACAAATTGAAGAAGACTGTCAAAGAAATCCTCATAGTTAAGCCAAAGAAATTTGGAACTCGCACGGATCTAGCTTTGGACCTGGCAGACAAAGAGGTGTTTACGGCAGCCGGAGGAGACAGACACAAAGCCAAGAACGTCTTAATCATCGTAACTGATGGAAAACCTCATATTACAAAGAGAGCCAAGGAACCATTCATTCCTTTCGAAAAGTCAACGAAAGCGCTTGAGGTAATAATGAGAATTTATGATACTAATATGATGCTTATTCAAACCTTTTGCAGAGAGCTGAATTACAGGTTTGTTTGAGAACAGACGTCGGCATTTTCTCAGGCGCCTCTGGCAGCCGCTTCAGTCCATATCGATCTCACCTTCCCACCCATCCCACGGGCAGGGGCTCGAACCCTCGACCTCCAACACAACAGTCCAGCGCACTATCCATTGAGCTAACTGGGCGGCGGTGTGTGCAGGAAAACAAATGATCTTTTTATAAAGATGACATGGCCTTTTTCCTCAATTCAATAATGCAAATTTAGCAACTTTATCGATTCTGAATCAGTAATTAGTTTAAGTCAGACGAGGTCGTGAAGTTGTTTACCCTTCTAGTAAGTTTGGTAGAGAAATATAAAATTGTTTATTTGTTATCCCACACTCATTTTCACAAGGAGACCGTACGAAAAGTATATATCAAAGTAACTAGCTGACCAACTTTTAAAATTTTTGTTTTGTATCAGGCTAAAGATGTTCTCGTTGTCGTTGTTGGGGTTGGCAAAAGTGTGTCAAAGCAAAAGAAGAAAATGGAAGAGATCGCTGGTGAAAAAGGCAGAGTTCTTTTGTTCCCGAGCTTTAAAATGCTAAGCCAAAATTTAGACGAGGTGTTAGAAGTTTACTGTGGTAAGCTCAACTTGTAGCACACTTCATCACTAGTAACCAATCCTCTCAATCTTGATGAGAAGAGAACATACGAGAATCGGTAGATTAATAGTTCCTAATTTAAAAATTTAATTCTTTAGGATTCCTAGTTATTGGGCTTGAAACCTTAACAATGAACTATACCTCTGTGCCGTCTAAACCCTTTCTTATCTTGTTCTCTGAGTAAATGATACAGCCTTCAGATCTTAGCTCTCTTCGTTTAAAAAAAAACATGACTTGACTTGGTTCAAACTAAAATTATTATCTGCATTATAAATTAGATATTTAACCCACGTCCTCATTACAAACGAAGATCAAAACGACGGATCCAGGTCATATTTCTTCTATGGCTAGGGCAACCTAAGCCGGACTGAGTTAGATTTTGTTTTCGAATTAAAAGTTTTATGCTGTATCATCTCTGGCGCATAAACTTCTTTTTTTCAAATTTTCGTGTTTGCTTTTTTCTAATATTATGACCATGTTAATATTCAAGGATATATGATTTTTATCAAAGATACAGTTTCAGTTCTTCCTCGTGCTAATCTTCAGTTGATCCGTTAACCTTGAGCCCCTCGAGGGTTCATCTTACTAACTTAGCACTTTTACTTTTCCTCCCATAAAGCTCTTGACGGAGGATACACTGAGTGGTCTGAGTCTGAGTGCAGTGTGACTTGTGGAGGAGGAGTGAAGACACTAACAAGAACCTGTACCAATCCCCCGCCATCTAACGGTGGAAAGGACTGTAGTAAACTGGGGCCAGCTACAATGACACTTTCCTGCCACGAGCAAGAATGCCGTAAGCTGAAATAGAAATTTTTGTTTTCAAGTAATGAGTGTTCATCAAATTAGATCTTTTTTCGATCATTTCATAATTTTCAGTAACGTGTGGATTTTTGAGCACCTACGATAAGATAATTTTGTTCTCCGTGATTCTAAAACAAATTTTTAAAGTTTTAAATGCTTACAGTAGCTTGCGCATAAGTGTGAAAAATATTTCTTTTTGATGGTTTAGCAATTGATGGCAAATACACCGAATGGAAGGAGTCGGAGTGCAGTGCGACATGTGGAGGAGGAGTAATAACTAAAACAAGAACTTGTACCAATCCCCCTCCACAACATGGTGGAAAGGATTGCAGTGAACTGGGACCGGCTCAAATAACACTTTCATGCAACCAGGAATCATGTGGTGAGCACAAACAATCGTTTTGCGAATACTTTCCTCAGCCCTTCAAAAGACAAAGGGAAAGCAACAGCACAAGACATAGGACATCAATTTAAGGTGTCCACTAAGATTTCCTTCCTTTGTTCTGAGCAATGTTTGGTAACTAAAAATAAAGGAAGAAGCATTTTAAAGGTTTTATAAAACGTTTGTAAAGTATTTTTTTCTTCACGGTTTAGCATTTGATTCTAACTGAAATGAAGTGGCCTTCCATTATTTCATAATTTGCATAACCTGTGGAAGGTTATGCATACAAAAATTGCATCAAATAAATTTTGTTGTACTTGAGTCTAAAAACCAATTTTTAAATTCCATGTCTACAGTGGGTTGTGCATAAGGGTGAAAAAAAATATCTTTTTGATGCTTTAGCAATTGATGGCAAGTACACCGAATGGAAGGAGTCGGAGTGCAGTGTGACATGTGCAGGAGGAGTAAAAACATTTATAAGAACCTGCACCAGTCCTCCGCCGTCTAATGGTGGAAAGGACTGCACTGAACTGGGGCCGTCCGAGAAAACCGAATCGTGCAACACAGAGGAATGCCGTGAGTATTTGCTGCAGCAATTGTCGCGGGAATAGTATCTTTAATCTCGTTTTTATTCTTAGCTTTGACCGTATTTTACGCCTGTTCCTGGGTCTAATCTAATCGATATCACGTCGCTTTACGTTACTTGGGAAGATTATTGTGATTAATAACCTACTGATGACTTAAAATCATGAGTTATTTTGTTTTATCTTGATTGCATTCTTTACACGTTTGTTATCTGGTACTCGTCTAAGAGGTGTACCGGTAACACTTAAGCAAAACGTTGAGGTATAGTGTTGACCTAAAACCAGTTAAATTTATCCCCACCTCCACAATGTTTATATAGAATGTTAGCACTGTTGCATTTTGAGGAAATCTAAGAGCAACTTAACCTTTAAAACACTGTCTAGGAAAGTTCCTAAAACTTAGCTACAGACGTTGTCATCTTCAGTCTCGCCCTGCAATGTGGCAACTTTCTTGTTACGTATTTATGAGACAAGAAAATATTCCTAGAATTTCAAGATCTTATTCTTTGGTGAAATTGAGAGTTGTTAGTTCTTAAGACTCTCTATTCATATACAATGATTGCATTCTACTACTTGTGTCTTCCGTCATACGCTGTTTGAATCTCCTGTTAAAGATTAAGTTTTTTATTTTCATCTTTCAGCAATTGATGGCAAATACACCGAATGGAAGGAGTCGGAGTGCAGTGCAACATGTGGAGGAGGAGTAATAACTAAAACAAGAACTTGTACCAATCCCCCTCCACAACATGGTGGAAAGGATTGCAGTGGGCTGGGACCCGCTCAGATGACACTTTCATGCAACGAACAGCCATGCCGTAAGTATTTGTAGGGTGATGTTATCCAGATCTTTTGCAGCTAAGGTTATCTTCAGTACTCTACTTTGTTTTAAGGAGCCTGGAGCACTTAAGAAATGGGATAAAGAGTTTGTTCTATGGTTATTTACACAAGTAGATCGCGAAAGTGACGATAAAGTTCGTATAAACTTCTTGGGTCATAACATTTATAAGGAATGCTCGTTACACCAGTCCTGCCCCAGTTAAGGCGTGCAAGTCCTTCTTCTTGTCGCTTTTACCATGGAAAATCCAGAATTTGATTAAAAAACCTAACATTTATGCTGTAGGAAATGTTGTCAATTTTTAGTGAAAATTTGATTCGTGAAATTTATTGTATGCTCGGTAATCTAGTTCCTTGTTTCCATTACTGCGACCATTTTTTAGTTGGAATTATTTGAAAATTCATCTGATAAGCCCCTCAGTTCAACGGAAACAAGGAGATATCAGTTTTGAATAATAAGGATTGTCATTGTCTGTACAACGTAATACTTGAAATAATAATGTTATGATGTCGTTTTAAGACTCAAAATCAAAAATGGCATTTGCCATCTTTCCTCAAGTTATTTCACTTTTTCATCTTCACAGCTCCTCCATGCGCAGCTGGACTTGACGTTGCAATCGTTCTCGACAAATCCCAGAGCGTTAGATTGGGTAATCTGAAAAAGATTATCACTTTCTTGGGTAACCTGGTTAAAAACTTCAATCCTGCCCCTGACGCAGATCACTTTGGCCTTATTACCTTTAACAAAAAGTCACAACTGTCTTTTAAATTTAGCGACTCACAATACCACGATAGAGACGCTCTACTACAAAAAATAGCCAACGAACCGATGGTCTTACAATATCAAACTCGCACCGATTTGGCCCTAATTATGGCGAGGGACGCGATGTTTACCGAGGCAGGAGGAGACAGGCCAGACAAACAAAATGTCATGATTGTACTCACAGATGGAAAACCAACTCATCCAAAAAAGGACTTTGACTTCGCTGCATTTGCTAAAGATATAAATAAAGATTTCGAGGTGGGTATGAAAGAGATTATAAAAAGGTTTGATCAATGACAGTTGATGCTTCAAGGAGGATTTCACTAAGGATTTGAGCACGTATTAAAATGCTTGGGTTCGAGCCCTGGTTAGGTTCCCTGTGTTGTGTTCGCAGTCGTCACTTGTTGAGATGAATTAGCATTCAGTCCTCCTCACTTTATGATCCAGCAACTTAGAGAAGTGCTATTGGGCCCTTAAATTTAATTTATTCCTTCTTCAATTAAAAGTAACTCGTCTCTTTTTGCAGAAAAATAAAATCAACATTGTGGCGGTGGGTATTGGTGCAGGAGTGGATGAAAACACTTTGCACGACATCGCAGGCACAGGTACTGTGGTCCAGGTGCAAAACTTCGATAAGCTTGATGAAATGATGGAAACAATCAAGGGAGCAGCTTGTTCGGGTAAGTTGTCAAGGCACATATCTCAGTCGCTCTCGCTTTTAAATTCATCCGGCACTCTCAGGGAGAAAAAATGGATCTATTTTGAGTTCTTTATCCTCACATTTACCACTATTGCTACTATTTTCATTATTATTATTATTATTATTATTATTACTATTTTCATTATTATTATTATTATTATTATTGTTATTATCCTCCTTGTAATTATCTGGTTATTAGCTCTTAACAACTCTACTTTACTAAAGAACAAAGAGACGTACTCTAAACTCTCGAGAGAATTATTTTTATTTTGTTAATGTATCAGCTGGAATGGTGCATGTAGTTTCATAAATTTTTTTTTTTATTTCATCGGAGGGAGACATCATGAGTCTGGTTTTCTTATTTGTAAATACATCACTCGTTTCTTTTTTACGCAACATTTTATCGTTTTCTCCATTTTTTATAGATCAGTATTTTAAAGAAACAAAACGAGGATAACAACTTTTTTTACATAATTATATAATGTCAAACAGATTCTTTTCTTTACTGAGCAATGTGGTATGTAGGTAGGATTTGGATTTTTTTGGATAGAGTTGTTTTCAAATTGGAAAAAATTATCGTTTTTATTATTGACGTTATTATCATACAATGATGCCTACGGACAAAATGTTCTTATGCGCAAGCGTTCCAAAAACTAACCTTTTGTGTCTATTTTTCAGGATAAAGTGGCCGGTTTTCAAGACACGCTGTACTTTTGGGTCAAAACAAATGGGGTAGTCACGTATGAAGCAACAGCAATTGACGGAATTATTGTGTGTGCATTTCATATCGAAAATAAGCTATCTTAAAGTGGGAACTTGTGTCTTTTGCAGTTTGAAATAAAACGACCACGAAATGTTCATCCTTACTCTCTCTTCGCCTGTTTCTTCGCTCTTTTGCTCACTTTACATTCTCCGTTTTCTTAAAAGAAACTGATAGTGGAAAACGTCGTCGTTTTCAATTGAAAATGACATTTTTCAGCATAAATGGAAATGAAATATTTAGTAAGAAAAAATTGAAACAGATGTCGGTTACTTTGAAAGTGGGTTTTCTGAGCGCTGCCAATCCAAAATGGTACTCACCGAGGAAGTCAGATGGCAACGTGTACCACTATAGGAGGTCTCCTTTTTTATCCTTTCCCTTTCAATTTAAATCAATGAATAGTCCTTTTAAAGTTGTGGGCTTGGTTGCCAAGCCTTTGAACAGGAGTGAGGCTAAGGGGGACCTTGTTATGATACAGATGTTGCTGCTTTTCAAATGTAAATGTCTTTGTTATCATGCTAATTAGATACTGGTCTCTATCACAAGAAGGTCGCCCTCAGCCTCACTTCAAATTAAAGGCTTGGCAACTAAGTACACAACTGTAAAATGGCCTATTATCTTATGGCCTAGTTGCTCATCCACACGCACATTGGGTCAGTGGGCGTCTACGAGATGGTTAGTGGGTCACAAGTATAATGTCGAAACACTCCCCCCCCTCCCCCGCATTGTACCCGCAGTTTTTATATACATAGGAAGTCTACTAGTCTACGTTTCGATTTTTCTTTAAAAGTAGGGCGCGATATATAATGAGAAAAGAAAAAACAGAGACTGCACTTTCATCCCAAGCCTGTCTCGTGGTTAACTGACTCCTAAGAGAATTTTAATGGCGGGAATATTCGTAACCATCCAAAATATACTATAAAAATTGTATAATTAATTAAATGTTTTGTTCGGCTGTTATGCAGCATCGCTTTGTTTCTATGACGTAATGAAGACACAAGTTCATTACGTTGGTTGATTAATAACAATACGGGTCTGCAGATGATTAGAAAGTTTTCAGAGGCAGAGGCTGCATCTTTTATCTGAGCTATTTTAAGATTAGCTTGATGAGAGGATACGCCATGAAATGGCCATGAAATTGACCACTTAAAGACTGTCTATAAGAGACCAGATGGTAGATAACTGATCATTGGAGGCAGTTTCGGTTGAGAGGGTATGTGTTTTTTTTGTCGGCAGTTGCATGTTTTGTTGTCATATTTGTTATTTGTTGTATATTTTTATATTATTGATGGTTACGATTATTTTCGCCAATAAAATCCTTTGGAAAGTGAAGTAATCACGAAATAGGCTTGTCGGGATAAAAGTGGGATCTCTTAATATTTTTCCCATCTCAATATAGAGATCAGCCCTCTTACATGCTTAATATTAAAAAAAAAAAATCTTGTTTCGTGTGCGGATTCACTGATGGACGGATGATCATGAGGTCACAAATGCATTTTCTCTGTTTGATGGGTTTCCAAATGTTATTGTTCCAAGCAAATGGCGGATGATTGAAAATTGTAATTGAAAACGAACAGCTTCCTCGTTGAGCGTGTGCATGACGCTTTTGTTTAAGTTTTGTTGCAACTCTGGTAGAAACAGAATTGAAGAAGAAAGGGAAAAATATGTATTCAATAACGGGAGATCTTAAGAGAAGGAAATTGCTTCGGGAGAGATGCTACGTCAATGAAAATCGCAGACAAGATGTTTATTAGATTGTCTTTTGAGGACCAATGTATTTCTAGTTTAAAACCAATAGTCGACTCCCAATAACTCAAACTGTTGCTTACTCCAAAATTACCAAAATGAATATTTAGAAGCAAGCATTAGTGAGTAAATACAGAATAAAAGGCTTGAGGAAGGCTTCATAGGTGGACATGACCAGAAAAAAGGAAAAATGCGCACACTCTTTTTTGTTTTCATACATTGTATATGCATTGATATGGAAAATTCGAGTGAAAATGGAACATTCCCAAAAAAAAGATTTTCAGCAGCTAAGCTTTATTGAGGTACAATGCAGTTAAGTTGACGTTACACTAAAGTGGTATATTTTACAGGTTCTGTCTTGTCCCAAGATAAGACAGAGACTACATGGCATCACTAAAATAAACTCATCGCTTGGACTACCGGGCCAAAAGATAACGCATTGAGTGTAAACTGCAAGGGACAGGGTCAAAAAGCAGACCGCCACTGGTGTTACATGTTGCCACTGAATAGATGGAAATGTCTGATATTTCAAAGATTCATGGTGAAAAAATGGGAAACAGGGCCAAATGTTAGAAACTGAAAACAAATACGGGCAAATGTTGATGTGTGACTTTCTCAGTGGGTGGCATCGCATGACGTCATGCGGTTGCCATATTTTGTCCACAGTAGTCCACAGGGGATAATGCAAAAATTGAACCTGTCCTAGAGTGTTTCGAGATTCAAAATGGATAGCAGCGCTCAGAAAACCCACCTTCAAAATAAGCGATCTCTATTTCAATTTTTTTTCACACTTACTTCTTCATTTTCATTTATGCTGATAAATCTCATTTTAAAAATCAAATCAATTTGGAAGATAAAACAACGACATTTTCCACCAGTTGTTTCCTTTAAGAAAACGGATAATGCAAAGCGAGCGAAAGAGAGAAGAAACAGGCGAGCAAGGACGCTTTGCGTTCATTTATTTTAAATGGGCAAAGACAGAGGTTCTGTCAAGTGATCTGTGTCAGGGGCAGGATTGAAGTTTTTAACCAGGTTACCCAAGAAGGTGATAACCTTTGCCAGATTACCCAATTAACGCTCTGGGATTTGTCGAGAACGATTGTAAGGTCAAGTCCAGCTGTGCATGGAGGAGCCGTGGAGATGGAAAAGAGAAATAACTCGGGTCGACTGTAAAGTTTTAGTAAGTAATGTATTCTCGATGCAAATCGCGATACTTTCAGATTAGAAAGCTTTTATATGTAGCTTTGGACTTTAAACTTTATCTCTTTCCTATAACTCACGTTTCTCTGACAAACATCCCACTGTGTTTTCGAAGAAACGGACAATATTGCCCATGCAATAGCTCCTGAATAATTAAGAAATATGGGCTATGGCTAACATAATAAAAAATGACAAGCAAAAAATATACGCAACAATGGCAACAAGGAACTAAATTACTGAGCAATTGATTTCACGGTTCAAATATCACTAAATTTTCACAGCATTTCCTAAAGCATAAATGTTTTGTTTTTAATTAAAGTTTGAAATTTTCATGGTAGAAGCGAAAAGAAGGAGGACTTGCAAGCTGTAACTGGGGCAGGAGTGGTGAAACGAGCATTCCATTTGAATGTTTCAACTCACGAAATTTATATTAATCATCACTCCCGCGATCTACCTGAACTTTGTAAATAATTACAGAACACAGTCTGTAACCCCTTTTTTATCTAGTTCTCCAACTGCTTTAGTCTCCAAACAAAAAAATGGAGTTCTTAAGATAACCTTTGCAACAAAACATCTAGCCTGAAAACATCGTACAATAAATACTTACGGCATAGGTGTTCGTTGCAAGAAAGTGCCATTTGAACCGGTCCCAGCTCACTGCAATCCTTTCCACCATGTTGTGGAGCGGGATTGGTACAAGTTCTTGATTTAGTTATTACTCATGCTCCAAATGTCACTCTGCACTCAGAATCCTTCCATTAATTTTCAAATAATCTTCAAATAATTTACTTCACAGACGATTAGACAAAAGAATTGTATGTTTCTCTTACTGATTTCAAATAATGGCTAAGATAGCATTTTCATGTCGAGCGATAATACAGTTGAACGAAATTAGTTCTACTCGCACTTCTTTTACGTTTATTTTAGTTCTACTTCCGCCTATTCCATTTTCAATAATTAGTACAAATCTTTTGTTAATTTTCAAAAGTCAGTTATCGGCGTCTAAGAAATAATTGATCACTTCTTTATACAATAATGTTCATAATTGACCGAGGTGTGGTTAGAGGCTGCATTTGTATCGAAACATCTTTCCTCCTAACAAGGTCTATTTAAAATTTTAGTACGGAAATTCCTTAAAATCTTAGTCCTTGATAAGACTTCTTGTCTAGGGACTGACTGGTTAAGTTTTGAAAAAAGTGACTGATGAGGGGTAAGGCCTGCGACGGTAAAAAGTTTAAAATTCACGTTGACCTTTTTCATCTTTAGACCGTATTATAATATTATAATATTATAATATTGAACATAAGTATAATTTCAGAGCTGAGCAAAGAGTTTCCAGCAATCTGATTGGTCGAGCGGTTCCTTATATGACGCTCTATAAACCGCTCCACGCGGTTTATATAAAATGTTAAAATAAAATGTTAATAAATGTTACTAAAATATTATGATTTTAGAAATTTCTCTGTTGTTCAGCTCTGAAATTATACTAAAACAATTATTCGCCTCAGGTTCGGTGAATATTGTCGAATAATCCCCTCGACTTCGTCTCGGGGATTATTCGACGATATTCACCTCGCCTTCGGCGAATAATTGTTAAATAT